GATCATGCTCTGTATTTGGTAGGATTAGCTCGGCGTAGTGTATTATAAACTATTAAAATCGACTGAAACAATCACAGAAGATCGGTATCGAACGCAATTGATGCGTTTGAGCCGAGCATTGAAAGACAAACGGCCGCAATACAACGAGAGACACGATAAAGTGATTTTGCAGCATGACAATGCTCGACCCCATGTTGCGAAAGTAATCAAGACATACTTGGAAACGTTGAAATGAGAAGTCCTACCCCACCCGCCGTATTCTCCAGACGTTGCTCCCTCTGACTATCACTTGTTTTGATTAATGGCACACGGCCTGGTTGACCAGTACTTCCGGTCTTATGAAGAAGTAAAAAATTGGATCGATTCGTGGATAGCCTCAAAAGATGACCAGTTTTTTCGACGCGGGATTTGTACGCTACCCGAAAGATGGGAGAAAGTAGTGGCCAGCGATGGACAATACTTTGAATCATAAATGTATAACCAGTTTTTTACAATAAAGCCTTGAATTTCGGAAAAAAAAACGGCGGAAGAAAAGTTGTACACCTAATATACTGATTTAATTACATCTTTATACTTATGTATTAAGCAATATTAAATACTTTATGTATTCCTAAATATAAATACTTTGTGTATTGATAATTAGATAATTTTAAAAATTGTATAATTAGATAAATAAGCACAATCATCTAGCTTATTAGTCCTTTCTCTGTTTATTGATTTTTAATCTTCAAAGCCATTGTGTTAATTTCATTATATTTTCAATTTCTGCTTGTAGCAACTGGAGGATGGCCCGAACAGGAAAATCCACATGTAACGCGTATTAATGCTCTTATTGATTATCACAAGGTATTAGCCTCTATAGAGAAACAGCAATGTGAAAGGAAGAAAATTCATCCGAAACGCTCCTTTATGCCAGCTGTAAGTTTAGTAAGAATTGTTTTAATTATGTATTTATTTTAAAATGTCTTCCTAACTATATTTGCTTGCCAATAGCAGACAATGTACAGTTTTACATCGGCGTTGGTTCGCAAGCGTATCGGACGTCCCATGAAACCGCCAATGCAATCTCAATTATCCGCTCAACCAGTACCATCCGTTGCAAGTGAAGAAGTGGATGAATTACCAAGCGATATATTTACAGAATCTGTGGATATAACTAAAAGTAAGAAAATTTTCAATAACATGAATGGCAGTATTGATATAAACTTTGTTTTAAACATATGTAATTTTGTGTAATAGTTACTACATTGGAACAAAGATTACAACATCCGGAAGTACAAGCTGAGAAAATAAACGAATTGCGTCCTCAGCACAGACAGTTTTTAGTCAAAAGATCGCAACGTTGCAGAGTGTGTGAACATAATGTTAGCAAATCAGATCTTTGTCCTCAATCAACAAAGTTCAAGATTTTACTAGCTGCATTGTAAGTATTACATTAAAGGATCAATTATTAACATCAGTCATGATACTAATAAAATATGTACAATAATTTTGATTTTTATTATATTTTTGAACATATAATTAAAGTTATATTCTTTTTTTAGTTATCATATCCCAGAAGTCAAGATTGTTACTTGTGAACCACTTCGACCAGGGAAATCAAGTGAACTGCTTCTAAAATTCTGCAATCCAACGCAGCATCAAACTCAGATAACTATATTGCCTTTGGATACTTTGTTATCTACTTCATTCACTGAGGAAAAAGATGTTAAACAAGAGGATATGCAAGTAATATCAAATTAGAATTTTATCATAAACTACAACATATTTTAATATAATTTTTTAAATATAATTAATGTTTTAATATAATTTGGTTATAATTGACAGATGAGTGAATCTTCGAATTTATTGCCATCTACTGTACGACAAGCATCTGTAACAGAAGATCCTAAGGCAATAAAAATAGTACCGAATACAGATTTGATATTGCCTCACAGTTCATTGATTCTTCCACCAAGAGATGATGCTGCTGAATATGATGATACGAATGATAATCATAATTTTCAAGATGATCCAAAGTACGTGAAATATACATAATTACGTAAAGTTAATACAAAAAGATAATATGAATTTCATTATTTATACAATTTTTTTTAGACTTGTAGTGTGGCGAAAAGGAAATAAAGCAATCATACGTTTGCACGTAATTCCACATGATACAAATAAAAATAATGAAGATCCAATTATAGCTGGATTTGTCATGCAACACGGATACGTAAATACTATTGCAGCGCTAGAACATAAATCTCCGCAAAAAGTAGATGTAAAGGTCAAGTTATATCTTACTGTTGGCCAGTTAGTTGGCGAAACATAATCTTTTTCAATTTCATTAGAATTGCAAAATAGAATACTCTATATATAAATGCTTTATTTTTATCAGTAGTCGATTATAAATTAAATATTAAAGATACTTAAATATTTATACTTAGATGTATTATTTTTGTGTTAAGCTTGATGTCCGTAATATATTCATTGACATTCTATATGAATACAAAATGTAAGAATGTGCTCTTAATCATTTATTTAATTTTTTATGTTGTTAAAAAAGAATTTTAATTAAAAAAGAAAATTAAACCGTATTAAGAATACTTGTTATAATTTATATATACATATATACATATATATATTTTTTTCATGTATCATGAAAATTGCTTCTTTTAGAGACATCATAATAATAAATCGAACATAAATTGTAATTTTTAAGCTGTCACCTATATAAAAAACAGAAAAAAATATGCTTTATAAAAATGCAATGTTTCTTATTTTTTTAAATATGTTTATTGAAAGATAATACACCCCATACAGAAAGCCATAAGAACAGCTTATAGCCTACGTCCACGACGACCTCCCTTCCTGCGAGTAGAATCTGATGGAATAGGAGTAACATCTTCAATACGACCAATTTTCATGCTTGACCGGGCTAAAGCGCGCAGAGCAGATTGTGCACCTGGGCCAGGAGTCTTTGTTTTATTACCTCCCGTAGCTCTCAATTTGATGTGCAGTGCTGTGATGCCCAAAGATTTACATTTTTCTGCAACATCCTACAAAGCAAAAAATTATAGTTTACATTATACCAATATTTTAATATATTGAATAGTTATAATTGATTGAGAATTGAAAGGATATGTTTGAATGTCTTCTTTCTTTACAGAGAAAAAGTGCATGATGCAAGCACATGTTCTCAATTATTAAAAAGAACTTGCTTTTCCACAAACACGTGAACGCTCCTTAGATTATAATAATCTTACATCTAGGTGCTGCCTGGATGTGGAAAAATATATTTTCTTGAACTAATTCAAATATAATGATAATCATTAACAACCTGAGCTGCAAGCATAGCTGCGTAAGGCGAGGCTTCATCACGATCTGCTTTTACCTTCATGCCACCAGTAACTCTAGCAATTGTTTCTCTATAAATACAGACAGATAATTTTATCTCAATGTGTTGAATTATTATTATAGGATCATATAAGGGAATTCTAATGTCCTGGAAAACTTATAAGGAGGAAAAAGAAGATTTTGCTCAATAAAAATGAATCAAGAAAAATAATTGATATACAGAGATTATTCTATTATCTGTTCAGAAAATTGGAACACAACATAGCACAAAACAATACAGTCTCTTTCATAAGTCTAATTCTACAACTGACAATTAACTCGTAACCTAGGTTCAACTTATTCATCGTCTCTTTCCAATTTTAGAATTAGAAAAAGAAGAGAAACAAGTTGAACCTCAATTAAGAGTTAATCATGAGTTGTAAGACTAGACTTCTGAAAAATATCCTGTGGATATTCTTTATCAACTTAGCTGTTTTAATAATGAAAGCTTTTCATGTTGTAGACTCATTGGATAACAATGTTATTTTTTCTTGAGAACAGAAATGTGAAAAATAAATATTTTTATGTATGTATATATATTTATACATACAGATACTAAAAATTTTTATTTTCCATATTTGTGCCATAGGAAAAGTTACATGATTGAGCTTCCTGATAATCTAACATAAATCTAGTACAAACCTGCCCGACAGATCAGTAACGTGCACAAATGTATCATTGAAGCTAGCAAAAATATGAGCTACTCCGAATACGACTTCTCCTTCACGAAGTTGAGGCCCAAGAGAAACCTGCACTTCTTCCTTCTGTACCTTTCCTCTTTTTGGCGGCATTTCTAAAAAAAAATGGATATCTTTGTTTATTATTCTGTAACTCGACCATCTGCTATTATACTTATTATAATATTCGTATAAACATTTTCGGGACAGATTTTAAGGTTATGTCGATAATGAAAATTCATCCAACTACATCCACACGTGCAGCTAAATGCAAAGCTATTATGTAGTTGGAACTTACTTATAAATATTCAATTAATAAATCTAATTTAATATTTTTGATAAATAAAACGATATTTGTGATATTGAATATTAAAATACCTGCGAATTGTAAAGATTATAACCTTCCTGTTCCAGCACGATTTAACAGAACCTTAAAAAGAAGGATACTTCCGGTGACGCAATTTCTTTAACCAAAATGCGATCGTTCTGCGCATGAATAGGGAATATTTAGCTGTGTCGTTGTTCAATGACAACTGAATATCCAATAAAAATTTGTTCTGTGGAAAGAGTACTAGCTAAGTTCCTTTTATTGGATATCGAATCTTATGGACAAGATTTTGAAAGACTAAATTTAAACATTAAAAATCCTCCTCCTTTCAGTCAACTTACTTACACCGTTTTCTCAAATACGTAATGATAAATGTACGAATTATTGTAAATTTTATTAAATTTTATATTCATAATCAAAATAATATTTATAATAATGTTCGCTCTCATATGCATATCTTTTCTTGTAGTACTTAATAATTAATTATAATCACTTATAATAACTGCTTGAGTTATCGTGAACTGAGCACTTTTTAAATTTTGTTTAACAATTAATGTACATATTAAATATTTATATATTTATATATTAATATATTTTAACACATGTATATATTTGATGCAGTACTTATTAGTAATAATTAATCGGAATCACTTATAATAATGTGATCAATTTTCTTCGACTGTGCACTTCTGGAACTCTGTTCAAAAATAAATGTATTCATTAAATATTTAAATTAACATATTTTAAAGATAAATATTTTTAAACTATTATTCATACCAGCATTTTTAGAATAGAAGCGTTTGTTTCATTAGATTTTCCTCTACCGCGACTTCCTCTCGGGCTTCTAGATCCTCTACCGCCTCTTGAACCCCTTCCTTTTCCTTTAGTCTTATTCAAAGTTAAATTTAATTCTTCATCACTGTCATCACTATTTGATACATTGATACTGCTTATCTGTAAGCGAGATTGCTTAAGGTCTCTCAAACTCTTTTGCGGTGATTTGTTTAGTAATTCCGAAATCTGCAAAAGAAAAAAGTATCTATATGTATCGGTACAAATATTACATATGTATACACATAAATGTCACACATAAGCATCATTACATTATTCTGTTCCTCCTGTTCTTCTGAAAGCTTTTTGTTGCGGAAAATTTTAATTTCTTCGCGAATATCTTCTGGTGTCTCAACATCTTGCGCTTTTAAATATTCTATGGTTCTTTTCATTTGATTTCTAACAAGTAAATCCATAAAACAATTTAAGAAAAATATGAGTTGTTCTCAAATATTAATTCAGAAAAAAAATCATTATTAATTACTACCTTACGATACTTCTAAAGGCATCTAAATCGCTTTTCTCAATATATCGATTTAAGGCTTCATTCATTGCTGCTACAGTTAATACTGTTAACTTATCTTTATTTTCTTCCATATCAAAATATTTTTTAATTCCTCCTTGCACTGTACTAGTCCAATTTTCTCCTTTCTATAAAAAGAAAAACTCCAAGCAATGCTAAAATGTTATGAAACAAAATCAGTTTAATAACGAAACTATGTTGTTTTTTTACATCTCCTTCAAATAATTCTGTGATATCATCTGGATCATCAATTTCATCCTCAATAATACGTTTTCCTTTGTCTCCGGTCTTTCTTTTACGGAATAAAATCATGTCCATAGGATTAGCAACTTCATCACAATATCTTTGTGCCAAACTAAAAGCATTTTTTATTTAGAATAAGGAAGAATATGAAGTATATATTCAATTTCAAATATAATATTAAAATGCAAAATTTTCAACCTTAATGTATCAAATTGTTCATTAACATCGTCATAAAATATTCTTAATCGAATTAAGGGTTGGAGTGGTTGACCAGGATATCCTAAAATGTTTTAGTTTTATCTTACATATTAAATAAAAATTATATTCACAAGGTAAAATTAAAATAATTGATATACCTGTGAGTTGTTCAGCAACTTTAGGCATGATATTATTTTCAATATATTGATCTACATATTGACTAATAGCATTTGCTAATGAGACGCAATTTCGCATTTTAATATCATGATCATGAAGAATCAAATTATCAAAAATAAATGGGCGAACACTTTGTAATTTTAAAGGTTTTATTTTGAAGTTACTTTTATTTATTTTAAGAAGACCCACATGTTTGGGTTTCGATTCACTTTCGCATAAAGAAGTAACAATAGAGCTTCCTAAAATTAATTTAATATACAATTTTAGAGAAAAATGAATTCTGAAATAACCTCCACTTGTATGTCCAAATATATATCACAAAAAATATAGTTTTACCTGGTTGGGAAATAAAATATTCGCCTTGTTGATTAAATTCAGGCTTAATACGACATTCATGTTCATGTCCCCAAATAATTAAATTGAGGAATTTATGCAGTTTATCTTCTGATATATAAGCATCACGAACTTTGACACGATTCTGATGTAAAACAAATATGTTGAAAGTCTCTAAATCCATATCTGGTCGTATCAACTCGACCTATTTTCAAAAGTTACATTAGTTATTATTCTCCATAATCACACAGATAAAAAAAATATGTTTGATATAGGATATACCTTATCATCTCTATATAATCTCCATAATCTTTGGTCATTGATATAACTCAGACCATAAAGAGCAACATGGGTATTACGTTTTTTCAAAATTAAAGGAGATATAACTATGCGTTTAAGATCTGTCCATTTTCCAAAGTAATTCACAAGTCCAGTAGCTGACAGTATGTCTATTGATCCGACAGTACCAAAACCTAATGGATAACAAACAAGACATAGCTTATATAATTAAAGATTCAAAGGAAAAAAAAATTATATACTTGGATCATCATGATTTCCATGAATAGTAAATACTGGCATTGAGATATTCAAATTAGGATCTTCATAATTCACACGTTTCTGTGCACAGTGTCGAAATATCTGTTCAGAATCACTCAAGAATTCTATCTCGCATTTTCTAAAAATACATTAAAATTATATTGTATTATCATATTAAAAATGTATCTATATAATTTAAAAATGTAATATTATAAGTTTAACATCCAATTAAATATTACTTACTTAGTACCCAAACAATATTTTCGCAGTAACTCTATACATTTAAGTAATGCAGTTTGTGAAGGCTTAGTTTCATGAAACAAATCACCACCCAACAAAACCATATCAACCTCATTATCTTTGCCATACTTCAATATTTCTTCGAACGTTACAAAACTCTCATCTGATTGTCCTCCTATTAAGAGAAATGATAACATTAAAAGTAATACTGATTTCCAATTTCATACGCATGTCATCTCACGTCTTTTCTTACGTTTATAGCAATTTTGTTGAAAAATACTTTTACGAAAACAAACCTCTCTTTTTACTGTAATCGAAACCAAGATGAATATCCGTGGCTACCAGGATATTAATAGTATCTTGCGGATCTACGTGTGTATTGGCGGATTCTGACATTTTTTATGTGTCATGTGTCACACTTGATAATTATTTAATATTTAATATTTTAATGTTATCCAGTTATTTATCTTATACGCAGTAATGAAATAACTGACAATTGGAATAGATTGAAATGGCGCGAAACGCATACGTCGGTATAGCAAAGCATAGAAGGGAAACACAATAGGTTCGTATTTTCTTTGCATTGGATGCATTTAGAACCAACTACTTATTGAGCGCTTAAGCTCTTTCATCTGATTAGCATATTCCGTTAGAGTCTAAATATGGATCAATCAGATGAAAGAGCTCACTGAACGCAGTTGTCGTTCTGAATGCATTCACTATTTGCACTGCTCTGCACTCGAATGCTATCTCGTACTTTCTCTCTCTCTCTAACTCGCAAAGTGTAGTAAGTCTTAAAACTTTAGAAAATTGATCAATCACAATCGAATATGAAAAGAATAATCGAATATAATTGGATCAATTCCTTAAGACTTAAAGTTTAATACTCCTCTATTGTATTTGCGAGGTCATGGTCGTACGAGGTCTGCGTTTTTTGATTGCACAGTTGCACGTTTTTAAGTCGGATTTACATCGCAGGTGAAACGTATTTGGATCTAAAGGCCGCAACACTGACTTCTGTATAACGCATAATTTATAATATAAGTAAATCAACCAATCATAATTCTTCTTTTTGGTGAAATGGAGAAAAAAATAATAAAGGAAGAATTCTGATTAATTGATTGATTCATTCATGCATTCTGCATTATACTTTATACAAAAGTGGCTGTAAACGTTAAATGCAAAGTTATAACTATATATAGAATATAGATTAACAGTAATATATAAGGCTTGCGTTCCATCTTAATATTTAGCTTGTTTAATTGTTTAGTTGATAACAAGAGTCTAACAAACGAGAATGGATTGAAATTATTTTCTATTCGAATGCGTATTTTAAATAGTAAATACTTTTTTTTGATTTAATTGGATTCAATTGGATTCAATTAGATTCAATTGGATGCAATTGGATTGAAAAATTGCATTTCCTATTTAAAATTTTGAATTGGACAGTATTCACAATGTATTTTGCACACAGAAAAAGCTATTATTTTTAGATTGAAAGACATAAAGATATGCTCCATGCAATTCCTATAAATGAATAAAAATGCATTCAGGATTGAAAAACATTCATTCTAACATTCGTGAATATGCCAATATTTCTGAAAATCTGAATCCATTTCAATTCATTTCAATTCATTTTCATTTGGAGAAGAATAAAATGATGCTCGCGAGCGTTGCGAATTGCACTTGAATATGATGGAATATAATTGTATATACTGAAAATATTTCCGATATTTTGAGTGTTTAAGTAAAATCAAATTGATCGATATATTTAAAAAATCAATGATGAAATCAATTTAAAATAATGAATTAATTCTAATCTACATAAAGAAACTTACAGTTATATTTAATCAACTGTCGCCTTAAAAAGTCTGTTCACTCTATATTATACGCAATCCATTTCTATTTTCAATATATAAAATAATACTTTATTATTTTTATTTTAGGCAAGGAAAAATTGAAAAAGTGTCCTGAGTATATACGGAGTTGATTACGTATACATATGTATTTTAAAACGAAAAATGAAAATTATAATGTAATCAAATATATTCTATAATACAATTTATAATATATATATTTATAATATATTAGATTTATAGTTTCATTGGTCAACATCTAATAAATTTGCTCACATTTATAATTTCTATCTCGTTTCGAGATACACAATACAATTCTTTTCAGCTAAACTTCTTGCACAGTCCATCTCTTCTCTCTTTCCCTCTCCAATGCGACAAGAAAAAAAAGAAAAATGAACCATACAAAAAGTTCAACTAAAAAAACGGACCTAATCGACCATAATCGAGTCGCAGACATAAATTCGCGCCGGTTCGCCGATAAGAAACGGAAAGAGCCGAAAACGACCGACTGCGAAAGGGTGGGGGAGAGGAATGGCGCACGTCGCGCCATCTGACGTCCCATTGACAGTCGCTGGTCGCAGCTCGCAGCAGGGAGCGCGCAGGAGGTGATCTATCGCACGCCATATTTGTTGTTGTCGTCGATGGGGGTAGGCTAGTTCTGAGAGTTTTCTCGGACTCCGGCTCGTTGACGGTTGCTACGATAACCGTATAACGGTCGGCGTCGATCTCGGGGACGTTCGGTGCCGGTGGCCAGTGCGTGACGCGACGTGCGTGGAGTCGTGAAAATCACGGGTACGGATTGTTGCGCGCGCGCGAGCGCGTGCGGGTGCGTGCGTGTGTGTGCGTGCGCGCGCGGAGGGAGTACGTGCGTGCGTGTACGACTATACGTGCGTGCGTGCGTGCGTGCGTGTGCGTGCGCGCGCGCGCGGGAGCGCGCGCGCACTTTCCAGCGACGTCCCTTAAGCCGCGGAACGAGAGAAACATCGATGGGGTACCTTGACGGCTCAGCTGTCCTGCACCGTGCCGAGTGCGCCTTCGTGCGTGTGTGCGTGTGCACGCGCATTTGTATACTACCGCCACTATTCGCGTCACAGTCACGCTGCTTAAACACGATGCTGTGCTCGATGGCACTCCGTTAGCGTCGCGACGTTTCCATTCTATTAGTGAACGGGACGCGAGACGCCAAAAGGATTGATCAGGAACGCGAGAGAGAGCGGTCCATCTCCCAGACCTTCGGACGCAAATTTTGTACGGGATTGGAGGTAAGCGAGAAGAAAGTCGCGATCGCGCATTTACGTGTGTGTTTGTTTGTTGTGTGTGTGTGTGTGTGTGTGTGTGTGTGTGTGTGTGTGTGTGTGTGTGTGTGTGTGTGTGTGTGTGTACATGCGCGCGAATAGGTATTCGAATCACATATTATTCTACGAATATGTATTCGTGTGTGAGAAGTGAGGATTTCGGTAAGTTTGTTGGAGTAAGAAAGAAAGAAAGAGAGAGAAAGAGAGAAAATGAGCGAATGAGGGGGGAGAGAGGAAGAGGGATTACCGTCGAGTATGGGATCGGGGTCGTTGTACGTTCTTGACGCTGGGGTCTGTTGACCCTGGCCAAGGTCCCCCGCGGTTCATGGCTAACATTGTCGATGTGTCTATGCGTCGATTCCTCTCGCGTCTCTCCCTCGTTCCGGATCACATATATACGGCAATCGCCTTAACCTAGTCTAACAACACGTCGCTTGATTCACACGAGCCGAGCGATGAAACGAGCGGACGGATCCGCGCACGATCGACCGCGTGTCCCTTTACGCCGATTCTTAGCGAGGCAAGCAATTTCACGCGACAAAACGAAGCGCCCCGCGTGTCGCGGCTTGAAAAATCAATACCGCGCCTCTGTGAGGTAACGCGAATCAGCTGTTCCTGTTTTACTCCTCGGGGGAGTCCGCGAGATGAAGCTCCGGCGCGGCGGCGTTCACGCGGCCGCGCGTGCTTCTCCTACGCGCGCGCGACGATGGCCGAAGGTTTCTCTGAAAAACTTGTTGATTTCTGTGTATTTATGATGTTATTCTGATTGTATAGTCTCGTACTGAGTGTAACGAACAGTTCTTACCGGTCCTTTGCACTCTCAATCTCGTTTCCAGAATGGAATTGTTTTGCGAAACACAAACTGGGCATGTATTGTAGAACAATGGCTGTATTCTTCAAATATATCGCATATAAAAATATTGAAAATACTTCAGTATGTTATATAGAAAGAACGGTTTTGCTAAAGTATTTAAAAATGTAGCTATAGATCTGAAAATAATTTTGTCGGACCATCAAAGTAATTACGTTGGAATTCAAATATGATGAAGAATGCTGCACAAAATTTTGACATTCCATCGATTAATTCTAGAATTATTTTTATGGTTGAATAAAATTATTTTTAGATCCGTATCTGCCTTAAATTTTTAGACTTGAAACAAAAAGTTTATTAGATAACAAAAAATAATTTTATTAGATTATCAGTAAATTGTATACGACGCCTAAGTTTCTTGAATATCAAAACTTTTTGGAGTATTTCTTTCTTTAATTTAACTAAAGTCAAAAATTTAAATATAGATCTGAAAATAATTTTTGCTGTTAAAAATAATAATTAAAAAATAATAATATATTAGAATCTATATAATTTTTATAAATATAAATATTATTTTAATTTTTTTAAATTTTATCAAAATCATTGTTTTTTTTGTACGTTACATATGTATTATAGATTTCCATAGTATTTTCATATATGATATTTTTCGAGAATGAGATTTTTTTTTCGAAATAGATCGGAATTATTCTTTTATCCGTATATAAAACATAAATATAGAACATTATAGAGAATAATTGAATGATTATAATCTATTTTGAATAATTTCAATAAATAATATGTGCCCTATCCGTTGCGCGAGTTCTTGCGCTTCGTTGAATTCAAAATGACTTGTTGATTTTCGTGACCTTATTTTGATTGTATTTCAGCCAGATATATATAATGAACGATCGTTGACATCGTTAGCCTTTCGTGTTTCGAACTTCGTCTAGATAAGATCGCGCTTCGCTAAACGAGAGCTGATCGTTACATTAATATCTGAGCTTTGTGAATTTAAAATTACTTTCAACTTGCTGTTTTCCGTGACCTTATTCCGTGACCAAATACTGTACTTCGGCCAAGTATAACGGACAATCAATGTTATTAGTTTTTTGCGCTCCGATTTTCGAACAGATGGAATTGCTCCGAAAAATGAATCTACTATCCATTCCGTAAGTACTTGAGTTTCGCGATGGAAAATCATTTTAGATTGAAAATTCTCAACTATCATAGATTTATTTTCCATTATTTGTAATGTTTTACGAACATGAATTTCCTTTTATTCCAATAATATTTCATGTATTTATATTTATTGTATTTTATCGTTGAAAGAAAATATGTTATAATCGATTCTTTTTTTTTTACTCTTACATTCCGACTCACGATATGAGAAAAAGATAATTGCGAAAGAAGAAATTAGAAACGCCGATGATCTTTTAATTAAATAATAACGGAAAAACGTTTCCTAAATCAAGAGACACATTTTCTATATTGGAAATCATTCGGGAAATTCAACATTGTCTTATATAAATTCC